ACGTGTAGCCGGAGGCGCTTCGCCACGGCGAGCCAAATTGGCAGCGTGATCGAGAATCGTGGGTCCTTGAGCGCCCACCAGGCCCCTGGGGCGCACGAGTCCCAGCCTAGGTCCAGAAACGCGGCCAGGGCATCGATGGCTCTATCGACGAGATCTCGCCGCGTGCGTGTCCCCGGAGAGAGAGGTCGCGGCAGCTCGTCCCAAGTGAGTCCGTCCACGTCGTAGATACCTTTGTTCACACGTTTCACTGACATTAATTCGTTGATGCCGTCGGGATGGTTCTGGTCGGACCTGCTCTGTTCCACGTTGCCGAGGTGCGCACCAAGGCGTCCGAGGATGCTCGTGGCGATCGATGTCCCCGACCGAGAGACGCCGACGACGATGACGCCCGGCGGTCTACATGTCTTCTTTTCTGTCCCATTTGCAGGCTTCACGATGACCAGCTGTCCGTCGGCTCCGAGTTCGCACCTGACCGCCCCCTTGTAATTGTGGACGTGGACGACGGCGCAGGAGTCGCATGCCGTGCGGCAATTGAGCCGTTCGGGGAGCTCGTAGAGTAGGTTGTGATCTGCGAGCGTAAAATCCCACAGCACCTTGCGGAGCGAGACTTGATCGTGGCCATCCGGCGAAAGATTTTTGCTGAACTCCCTCGACCACGCTTGCGCCAATTCAGTCCCACTCGCGCCATGTACGAGAAGCACCCCACCGTTGCGTTCGCAGAACGTGTTAGGGATTCCGGCAATCTCGTGGCCTTTTGGGATGCAGTTCTTTGCGCGGGCGAGGGCCACGGACGCGTTCGCCGAGCGCATCGCTCGGAACACGGCGAGAAACTCGGCTTGCGCGTGGGGATGAATATGCACGTCGTTGTCCAAGTAGATGAGCCCGTTGCTCGCGTGGATACGGGCATACTTCTCGATGGCCCGGACTTTGAAGGAGCGAGCGGCGCGCAGCAACTCAGGACACGGCCTGACGCCAATCTTGTCCTCGCACGGTCCGTCCCGTGAGCCGTGAATCGCCGTCCTACTCAGCGTTGCGAGGTCGATGCGATTGCAGAGTTGTGGGAGTTTATCGACCCATGTCCTCATGTCGGCATCGACGACGACTTGGATGTCAAAGTCCGTCGCACAGGCAAGGCCAATCATCTCTCCGAGCTCCTTGCGCGTAAAGTTGTCAAATCGAGTCACGGGAATAGCAGCGGCCGCGAGGAGAAGCGTCGGCGCCGCGGACGCGCACCCGGCGCAAGCACACACCAGCATTCGGGAAAGCATCTTCATGACATGCACTCGCCACTTTTTTACGTAACCGAGCAATGGCACGCCAGAGATTAGGCGCGCGGGCGAGTACACCGAGCACCGAGCACGCCGAAGAGTCCTGGTCGCGACGTGAGGGGTCAGCGTTTCGCGCGGACGAGGAGCATAATAAAGTGCATAATAATATTCTGATACCAAGGGGGGGTGTTGCTCCGCCACTGGCGTCGGCGGCACCCCTGCGTGCGGAGCGGGGTGGTACATCTTACGCAACGTAAATGGCCTACCCCAGCCGTCACACCGACGTCGCACCCAAAACCAAGGGGCGTATCCAACGCCATCGATGGTGACGCGCTTCGCTGGCACGGACTTGTACGCCGCGGCAGCCCCGCGGAGACGAGGCCCGGGCCCGCGCGGTGGAATTTGGTCGACGCCAGAACCACCTCCGATGGGGGCACCGACGGTCAGGCTTACGCCTAGGGGTCATGGAAGGCCACTCCGACCACCAGAGCGGGCTGCCGTGCGTCGGAAGCTTGGGCTCAGAGGTCTCCGCTCCCGGCCCGCGCGTACGTGTTTGGTACTCAAGCCAGCGAAACGGCTAGCCATTCGTCCCAATCCGAGCGCTTGTTTTTGTCACGTATAGCCACCGGGCGTCCCTGGCCGCTAGCCAAAAACCGCACGTTCGGGCGTCCGACGCGTCGGCCATCGGACGCCGTCGCCGGAGCAAGACCCCCCATGCTGGAGCAGCTAGAGATCTTTACGCCAGTGCGACCTCTACCTAGGTACAATAGTATATGTTTAGTTTGTGTTTATTTATTTCTTTACTATTGTACTTCAGCAGATCGATCGACGCGATGTCGGTGCTATCGACGCGACCGCGAACGCGCCCAGATTTGGGACGACAAGAGGCAGCCGCGCCGGCGCTGCCACCGGAGAAGGTCGGAAATGACGCGGTGACTTCGAGCGACGACTTCACACCCGGAGCGTCGATCGTCGGCGCGCTGCCCAACGCGCGGTCCGCGGCGATCCTCGAGGCGCTCGGCGCCCCGCGGGACGTCCGAGACGACGGCCGCGACGACGCGCGCGTCCGACGCCGATGGCCGCGACAACGAGTGCGCGGATGCGACGTCGCCGGGCGGCTCCGCGGCGTCGCTCGCCGACGACGACCGCGACGCGCACTGCGGCCTGCCGCCCTAGCCGTCGACGAACGATGGGCACTGCCGGAGCGAGCCCGCGGCGCGGCTACCTCTGCGACCGCGTCAAGGTGCCGAGCGCGCTGAGTTTGTGCGCCCTCTTCCTCACGGACGTGCCCCAGCTCCACGTCGCGCGCCACCCGGGCGCCTTCGTCGCAAAGGG